TCCTCACCTCCATAATCAGACCTTTTAATTACAATGACAATATTATTCATTTTTCCTTATGCACGAGCTCATCTAAATAATGCATTTCTACCATTGAATATCTACACATAAAACTCATGTTATTTAAAGAGAAAATTTGAAACATTAATGCCACATTAATGATACTAAAAATGATTTCAGACAAAAAAAAAACTCAAAATAATTACCGAATAAGTTGTGAATTGATCACTATAGTCCATTACACATTATGTTCTCACATTGTTGCCTTCAGTAGGGGCGTCACCTTGTTTTTGTTCCTTCAATGGGAGTAAGATCAAAATAACTTGCATTAAATTTGTGGTCGACAATAAGTTAAAATATCGTATGTATCAATATGGATGGAAATATTTAGTACATGAAATAGTTATTTGCTAGATATATAAATAGATAGATAAGATATAACTAATAAAATAAATAAAATAAAATAAAAATAAAATAAATAAAATAAAAATGGATCTTGTGTTCTGGAATTGGAATCAAAGAAAGATATTTAAAACGGCGTGACTTGTAATAAATGTTTCTCTGTAAAGGAGGGGAATAGTAATTTATTCATTCCTAATTTATTCCTTTCCTATAGAACATCTAGGAACAAGAGGATTTAATCGGATATATCGACAGATTCCCGCGTAGTCCAAAGAAAAAAAAGATCAAATTTTATCTCTATCGAATTTTAATATCAGAATAGTGGATATAATTATGATGCAATGGGTTAGGTCCACTTACTTTTTCTTTTATTGATTTCTAATCGATTTAATTGGAAAATAGGAAAGGAATATTTTAAGATTCAAGAAGACGACTTATCCTTATTCATTATAATAGCAAATTTATAACCATACTATAATTCAGTGTAGTGAGCAATTTTATTTTTAATTTTTTTGTCCTTAACGGTAATTATGTACAAGGGTAAAATAGGTTATTGATGTTTAAAATTAATATGGGGTGCCAATAGAATCTCCCTAATAATAATTATAAAAAAAATTATTTAGAAAAGAATTAAATAAGGAAATTGGCATTTCTTTTTGGTTAAGAACTTAAAAGAGGGAACCAACCAAGCGAGGTCCAAAATACCTATGCACATAAGGCTCTCCTCGTAAAAGCAACAAACTCGATATAACTAATAAAATAAATAAAATAAAAATTGATCTTGTGTTCTGGAATTGGAATCAAAGAAAGATATTTAAAACGGTGTGACTTGTAATAAATGTTTCTCTGTAAAGGAGGGGAATAGTAATTTATTCATTCCTAATTTATTCCTTTCCTATAGAACATAATGGTTTGCATATAACTGTTTAATCCAAAAAACTAGTAAATATCATAGTGATGTGTGAGATTTTGACATAGCGCTTTGTTATTTGCACGAGCACAGTAGGTGATCGAATTGCACATGAGGTGTTTGGTAAAATGTCGAGGTTACTGGTGTTGATTGAGTTGCACACTAGGTGTTTGAAAAAAATGTCAATTTGCAATATGGGTAGTATCAAATGGCCTGACATTGTTTTGTAACTCTGTTTGGTGGGCTGGACTGGATGAGATTTTTTCAATTAAAATGGACATGGGTCCTATTCGTTGTTTGGTGGGCTTATTATGTATCATGGACTGGATGTGGTTATGTGAGCAATTTTATTTTTAATTTTTTTGTCCTTAACGGTAATTATGTACAAAGGTAAAATAGGTTATTGATGTTTAAAATTAATATGGGGTGCCAATAGAATCTCCCTAATAATAATTATAAAAAAAATTATTTAGAAAAGAATTAAATAAGGAAATTGGCATTTCTTTTTGGTTAAGAACTTAAAAGAGGGAACCAACCAAGCGAGGCCCAAAATACCTATGCACATAAGGCTCTCCTCGTAAAAGCAACAAACTCGAGCTGCCTCTATTCCTTCATATTTTCAGGTATCTCTCTCTCTCTCTCTCTCTCTCTCTCTCTCTGTGTATACTGTTTCAGTTGATAACGAGAATGGTTTGCATATAACTGTTTAATCCAAAAAACTAGTAAATATCATAGTGATGTGTGAGATTTTGACATAGCGCTTTGTTATTTGCACGAGCACAGTAGGTGATCGAATTGCACATGAGGTGTTTGGTAAAATGTCGAGGTTTCTGGTGTTGATTGAGTTGCACACTAGGTGTTTGAAAAAAATGTCAATTTGCAATATGGGTAGTATCAAATGGCCTGACATTGTTTTGTAACTCTGTTTGGTGGGCTGGACTGGATGAGATTTTTTCAATTAAAATGGACATGGGTCCTATCCGTTGTTTGGTGGGCTTATTATGTATCATGGACTGGATGTGGTTATTGGACACCCGATATCCGAAAGTGCCGAAATTCGAAATTTCTGATAAAATTCGGATCGGAATCGGAATGTATTTGTAAATTTTGAAAATTCCTACTTTCCGATCCGAAAATTTCCGAAGTTCTCCGAACCCTTTCCGATCCGATTTTTCTGATTGTTTCCGAAATTTTCCGAATTTATAATAATATTTTATGATTTATAAGTTTAATTGCATTGTTTTTAGTTTATAGGTC